CCGTCTGGGGGTTCGGTCTTCTGTTCGTCACAATTGTGAGCTTCTGTTCACTGATAGGAGTGGCGATTCTACCCCTCCTCACCAGAAGCACATACGATGTGATGTTGACTCTGTTCGAGGGCTTAGCGGTCGGCAGTTTAGTGGGTTCTGCGATATTTCATTTGATTCCTCAGGCATTCAATCTTTCCAGCGGTGGCTCTCAGGTGTACCTCTGGAAAGCGCTCATTATCTTCGGCGGTATTTATCTATTCTTTTGGTCCGAACGCATCATGAAAATGGTGGTCGAGTTCAGGAGAAAACGCAAACTCCATGTCCAGTCGATCCCTTCGTGTACGAGCGCTGAGTTGGAACCGCACAGACATATGCCTCACAAGTAAGTCATTTCGGATGAACTATATCTCTGTCTGAAAAAGTTCACAAACTTTGCAATTCATTGCAGACAAGTTTACTTCAAAGACTTTGATTACGACAAACCCAATGGTGTGATGAAAAGCTCTGATAGTTTGACACATATTCCCGAAACTTCTAGTCATGAAAATGTTTGCGACAACGAAACCGATAAATCCATGGATAAGGAGTTGACAGACAGTCGCTCGGAATCAATGGTTTTGGAGTCGATTGCGAGAGAGAGGAGTCGAAGCAATTCGTTTAGTCTAAGGGCCGGACACTCGCACACGAGTCCGGGTGAGCAGAGGGCCGAGATCGCGACCGTCGCCTGGATGATCATCTTTGGCGACGGACTCCACAACTTCATAGACGGCATCACAATCGGCGCCGCCTTTTCTCAAAGTATTCTCGAAGGCATCAGTATTTCAGTGGCTGTTATTTGCGAAGAGTTTCCGCACGAGTTGGGAGACTTCGCGGTTCTCATAGCGTCGGGTATGACAATGAGGGAGGCGTTGGGCTATAACTTTGTGTCCGCCTGTACCTGCTATTTGGGCCTCGCGTTCGGCATATTGTTGGGAGACTTGGCCGACGCGGCGCCCTATGTGTTCGCATTGGCCGGTGGGATGTTCCTGTATATAGCACTCGTCGATATGATGGGCGAACTCACGGCAGCCCTCGATAGGGCTCAGCTACAGGGCATGAGTCAGACATTGAAAGTGCTATTATTGCAAAATTTGGGTATTTTATTGGGAGTCTTCACTCTACTATTTCTCGCCAAATACGGCGATAAAATCAATTTCGAGGGCTTAGCCCCTCCTAAACAGTCAGATATTCCTTTCACTGAATCATAATTACCGTAATACCGGTATTAATAGCAATAATTTTTAGGTTTACCAAATATTCAACTCATTCCCACTTTAGACATTTTAACCCCTTTTAATTTATTTTGACATTTATTCAATTGTTTTTTATATTTTTGGGTATTTTATAGTATTTTCCCTCAAAGTAACGTTCATTTATTTATGAATTTATTTTTGTTGATTGTTTTGGATTGAGTTACAAATTGTAGCTTAATTTAAGGTTACAAAATGGTTACATTTAATGTTCATTTATTTTAACATAATTTCACTTATAGATGACTCGTGCCTTCGATAAAGTAATTAGTCCTCAAGTATTCACTACTTTACTTAACACTGAAATCATTGCCAAGAAGTGTGAACTTAGAAACAATAAATCTTACGACCGATTTCAAAAAATATATTTTATTTTTTAAAGCAATTGTCTGTCGTATAAACCAGTCAATGGAAACAAATATGACTCAAAATAACAAATAAATTAATTATATTTAAGACAAATGCATAATATATTAAATATAAATTAAAGTACTGTATAGTAGTTTGAGTAATAAAACAAATACTGATTTCAAAATTTGTTGAAAGACTCGGTATTATTGAGGCATTGGTTTTTGTACGAAACTCCCGTTCGGGTGCCGGAGAATAGTCTATAATAGAAGCAAACAATTAGACAGTGTTTGCAAACTGTTGTAATAATAATGAGACTTACATTGAGTTTTGTGAGGTCGTCCCTATGCACAGACACTTGTATTTCAAGCGAAAGACATGCGATTATAATCTGTTGAGTATTGTCTTGCGAAGGATCGGTGCTGTCATTCCACTCCAAAGTTAACTGATTTTTGCCGTGTTTTGTCTCAAATGTAAACTGTTTGAGTGGCAACTGATCTAAATATACTCTGCTAATGACACCACAATTCATGACCATTACGTCAAATGAGTGGTCGTACACCTGGACTACTATTCCCTTAGTTTCCATTTTGCCGATGTGTTTGATATAGATATTAAGGAACAGACGGGCACTCAAGTCACTCACTATACGAGAGCTTAATTTCTTATCATTACATGTTTTGGCCAATCGGTGCAAGTCTTTCAATGAGTCGCCGATTTGTGGCGTATAGGAAAGGGACGCAGAAAGAAGTCGATGAACGATAACGTCGGCATACCTTCTGATAGGAGACGTGAAGTGTGTATAAAGTGGAACATTGAGGGCGTAGTGATGCAGCGTCTGGCTGGCAGACTGCATACCCGGGCAGACATAGGTTGCCATTTGCATGGCTTTCAACAGGAAATTGGCCACAACTCGCGATATGTTCTCATTGTTGTCGACGATTACATCCAATGATCGCTGAAGTGTTTGCGAAGTAGTGGTATTCACTTGAAAGCCATTGAATCTACAAAAGGCGTTAAACTCTTTGAGTCCTTTCTCATCGGGCGGGGGATGACAGCGAAGAAAGGCGTTGTCTCCAAACTTTCTATATATGTGGTGCGCGACCGCCATATTCGCCAATAACATGAACTCCTCTACCAATCGATTCGAGTCGCGGTAGACATAAGGAGAGAAACCAGAGGGAAGTCCCGACTCCTTGTCCAGAATGAAGTGTAGCTTCAGTTTGTCTATCTTTAGGGCTCCGCTTTCGAAGCGTCGTCTCCTTAATTTGACTGCAATTTCATTCAAAAGGTTAACGCTTTCCGATATTTCGCGATAAGTCCACTGATTGTGAATAAGTGGCAATTCGTATGGCTTCCACTCCCTGTTGGGCTCAGTGATCATGTCTTGAGCCAATTCATAGCTCAGTTTAATGCACGACTTGATGATCGTTCGGCCGAACCATTCCTCCAAAATGTCTCCATTTTTAGCAATTCGTATGGCTTCCACTCCCTGTTGGGCTCAGTGATCATGTCTTGAGCCAATTCATAGCTCAGTTTAATGCACGACTTGATGATCGTTCGGCCGAACCATTCCTCCAAAATGTCTCCATTTTTATCAATATTCCAAACGACAGAAAATGTCAGCTTTTCTTCGCCTGAATTCAAAGAACATAATCGCTCGCAAAGGATTGGCGGCAACATTGGAATCACTCTTTGAATTAAATACACAGAAGTGGCTCTTCTTCTGGCGATATCATCCAAAGGCATGCCTTCCTTCAGGAAATAAGATACGTCTGCGATATGGACTCCGACCTCGAAGTTGCCGTCATTGAGACGTTTGATGGAAAGGGCGTCATCTAAGTCACGGGCAGTCGACGGATCGATAGTGAAGACACACTCATTACGGAAGTCACGCCTGTATTGCAATTCTTTCTCAGGAATAGACCACTGATTATCACTCCACTCGTCATCACTAATGTTCGGTAATCCATAGAAAGCCTCTTCAGGAAAGTCATCGAACTCTATGTTATTTTCAGTTAACATGAGTTCACTCTCTGCGTCGACGTNGGAATAGACCACTGATTATCACTCCACTCGTCATCACTAATGTTCGGTAATCCATAGAAAGCCTCTTCAGGAAAGTCATCGAACTCTATGTTATTTTCAGTTAACATGAGTTCACTCTCTGCGTCGACGTCACCGGCATTTCCCAAATGCTTCAGAAGAATACCACTTGGGATGTGATCAGTAGTCTTCCAGTCCTGCAATTGTGCCACAAATAAACTCTGGCTGTAGTGCTGAGAATGATGATAGAAGTCTGGCGGACAGGTATTCATCGCGATTCGCATACGAGGTATGCGCGAGTCGTTTGGGATAAATAGCGCCCAATTCTGGTTCTTCTCCTTCATATGACTGAGACGTCCGCCAGCAGTGCGGGAGTGATTGTATTCACTGATGGCCACCACTCGACCCGTCCTTTGTATGAATTTATCCCAAAACTTCAAATTTAATAAATATTCTATCTTTAAGTCACCGATTCTTTCCAATGTTGCACTCAATTCGTCACAAATTCTTGAATGTCTTTGGCTTTTCTTAGTGATTATCAATGAATTCACAACTTCTGGTTTCAAAAGAGATGTCTTTTCACATTCAGAAGATTTCACATCATTTCTCTCATCACTTCCACTTTTATTCTTCTTTTTTCGCGAACGCCTTCTCTTTTGGGAAGTTTTTGCGTTTGTGTCACAACTTTGAGCATTGGTTTGGGTTTTAGTTGTGTTTTTAGTAGTGTTGTACTCATTATTTGAATCACTGTTCAAAGTGATTCTATCACAATATTCGTCGCTTTCATCAATGGTCTCGATATCGTGAGAACTGTGAGCACTGGACTCATGGGTAGCGTCCGTTCCATCCGATTCATTGCGAATCCCAAGCAATCTTTCAAAGTCTACTTCCCATTCATCCCAATGGATGCGAATGGTGTCCAATAAGACCTAATCGGTGACGCATTCAAGTGTTAGATATGATATTGAATCCCATGTTTATACTTGAAGCTAACCTTCCATTCTTGGGATGGCTTTATACGAACGGCCACTTTATCCCCATTGAGAGCTCTGTTGCGATCAGTCGTTCCTCCAACGTATATGTCGATTCCGCCCCCCTTTCCACAATACAGTACATTTCAAGTTAGTTATCATACAATCAAATAAAATGTGAGAATATAAGTTCATAGAAATCAAAAGTAAAACACAATCTTTTAAAGAATGAGTATATTTGTAGAGAATAGACATCAAATTCAATATATTGTACAGTAAGTTATACCGGTACTATATTTATAAAGGCTAAATTTATCATAAAACAATTGGTTGTAATACTGTCTATATTAGTAAATACTGTACTCTATATATGAATTGATTTTTCCTCATTCGTTAAAATATTTGATATAAAAAAACTAAAAATCAATGATTGAATAACTTATGACAAACTGTGAGTATATTTATAAATGAACACAAAAACAAGATAATACTGTAATAGTAATTATGAAAATAAAAACAAGTCACCAGTTGGTCAAAGGTTTAACTCAAAACATTAAAATTAGTAAAAGCTGTTGAGAATACCGAAGATTACCGGTGCGCTTATGTAGGCGTCCGTATAATTGCGAGGATTTATTCGTAGGACCCCCTGAAATAAAAGGTTTCGTTTAAACAAAGTCACCAAAAAAGTAATTCAATGAAACATTACTTCAACGATATCTCCTTTTTGTAGTCCTTTTTGTAGTTCACATAAAGGCATGTATTCGGTAAATGTCCTGTCATTCAAATAATTCATATTAAAGTAATGATACGATACGGTAACTCATTTAGATTCAATTTTCAATATACGTTCATTGAGCGAAACATTGACACATGAACACCAACTTATCAAATAAATTACTTGTGAGTAGATTATAAAAAATGCATTTCGTCTGGTACTGTACTGTATTAGAAATGATTTCATAATTTCAATTATTGCATAATCACTCAAGGAGTCTATGAGTCTAGGAATATACAGTGAGTGGCAGTTACACTAATTAAAAGTGTACAAATGTATTACTCCAGTATAGATTTGTATATTAAATACTTCCCCTATTCTCACCCCATTGCCACTAACTATAACAAACAAATATTTGTTTATTTACTTAATTAAGAACATTATACTTCATATTCTGTACCTGTACACTGTACATTTAACTTATAACGGATAAATATTCTTTGAGATACAGTATACGGTAACTGTTAGACAATAAATGAACAGAATATTCAGTATTGTGTAAGTATTTAGTTCATTAAACAGCGAGCAAATGGTGCATAAATGAATGGCAAATTGTCACCAATGAATATAACATTAATTTCAATGATTACTGGATTACGGTCTCTGAATATGACAGTAATTTGGACCCAAGAAGTGGTTTTAGGAAACATGTCTAAAGAACTTACTTTTGGTTTGGGTTTCGATGCGATTGTGAAGTCATAGACAGCGATGACTTGGATTGTCTCATAGGAGACGACGTCTGACTCATTGGGTTTCGATTGAAAGACATTCTCCGAGAATCTGTTGGCGTCGACGGAGTGGACAACGGAGTGGTCAGAAGTGAGGGCATCTTAGAGGTGGGAACGGATCGACTTTTGCCTCGATTACTGCACACGTGGTTCTTGTGGAGAGTGCGGATCTGATCGGGGATTTGTGTGTCACTCAATTGCATGCAACCCATGGTTTGCAGCATTTCATAGAAAAGCATATTATTCTGGTTCCGCACGCCATGGATGAGACACTCGCTCGAGTTGACGCCATTCACGGCGCCTGTCATTTGGTAGTGGCTGTGACTGTGGCCCGACTGAGCCCTCGACTGGTCGTTGTCTGAATACCNTAAAATAAAAATAAATGCAAGTCAAAGCTATTTAAGTAGTTTTAATAGTTAAATGAATTCATTTCTGTTTGATTCTATGTTAATCAGTATATTCAGGGAGAATTCCGCTATTCGCAAGGATAGCTGGCAATCCTAGAGACACCGTCTCACACACCGGCTAGTGGCGATCGCAGCTGTAGAGCATGTGAGACGCACCAAGCTGAAACGATCGATGTGGCTTTGCAAACAAACTGTAAACTGAAGTATTTTACTTATTAATATAAAACAGACAAACTTATTCCTATATACTGTTCAGTTAAATACTTGAATTTACAGTTTGTTTGCTTGAAATTATATATGAACAATATTATTTAAATAAATTTTTTAAAAATAAACTCACTGTTTATCAATTATTTGAAGAGTTTTATAAAGAATATTTTTAAATAAATTTATTGAAATATAATTCAAACCCTCCAGTGCCCGTAATCCCGGGGCCAGATCATATCACTCCGCACTAATATCTTGATTAATATACTGGATATTACTCTCATTGTGAGTGTGTTTCGCAAACTCAATGACCCCGCTATCTATGTCTATGCCGTAAATGTGGTCAACTATTAGCCTGTGGGCCAACATTTGTGTCACAACTCCCGTTCCGCACCCAATGTCCACAATTGTGTCATATTTTCTGTAAGAAATTATTATATAATTTAAATTATTGAAATTATAGAAATTATTGAACATTTATATCATTTTATAAATACTTATCGGGAGTGTCGGTAACAATTTTATTCAATAGTTTTGTAGCCCGGTCTTTGAAAATAAACAATGAATTTATATATTCTGTGTCATTAAACTCCATAATAAAAATGTTTGAATGAGTGGTCTTTGTTAAGACTTATCGGATAGACATTTATCGCCTATTATGCGCCTCAACGACGGCTCAGTAATAAAAACTAAACAAAAATGTTAAAAATAACCAGTATCTTATAACTTACAAAATAATAATAAATTGCATATATTTATGAAATTTACCATTTATTTGCAGAAGTTTGTTATGAGGTAGGGGCTATAGGCAAATTACCCCCAAAAATAACCATGGAATTTGTTTAAAAATCTACATTAGTATAAAATTATGTAATTTATACATAACAGGGAGATATTCATAAAATAGAAGTTTAAAGTAAAGAATAATTTTAACATTACAGGTATAGATAGGGATTAAACAAAAAATTAGTTTCTGTTCATTATGTTTCCCTTACAGTGTGCCAAAAGTGACAAAAAGTGTCAAATGCTAAAACATACGCAAATTACACCCTATGTTATAACTATTGCACTAATGGTTCATACATAAGAGATAACTTCACAACTCAGTACTTATATTTTATAATCACATTTAATTTAGTTTACAGCAATATAAGCTGAAACTGTTAATATCTAATTTGAATGTTTATAATAAATATTTACTAAATAAAGATAAATTATTATTGTTAAGACAGTATATTTATTTTATGGGTTATTTCATAAGCTATATTAATAGGGGAATGTAAGTACAGAAGTAATATACTATTATATAGTATAATAAACATATTAAATCGATTATTTTGTATTAAACTTGAATTTACAATTTTATAAAATAAATAAATAAATGTTTATTGAGATTAAGAACATGCCTTAAAATATACAATTTTCATTATAAAAAAGATTCAAATTTCTCATAAAACATTGAATTTACATTCATTTCTAAGATTAATCGGTAAGTCATTAAACAATTTGATAGAAAAGTCAATAATATTTTTGTCACAAAAGTATATTCTATTAAAATTTGATTTACAATAAAATCCATCCCTTGTTCATTCATAAAAGTAATAATAATTAAGATATTTTGCATACAATATGTTTTTGATTTGAACATTAAATACAATTTTCAATATTTGTGTTTTTCTGCGCCTCTCTAATGACTTCATATCCAAATACTTTAGTCTTTCGCTATATTTTATATTCATTTTAAAAAACTTGAAACAAATATATTTAGTTATTTGTCTCTCAATTTTCTCTGATCTCATAGATTGAGTATCAGTTAGAGTGAGGCAAAGGTTACTGTATTCAAGGATCGGTATCAATAGCTCTCTTTCCCATTCAGGACCACAAAATTGGGGGGGAGCTATTAATATTTAATTACAACTAAAATTAGTAAATTATTAACTGATTTGACTATAAAATACATTAAATACTTTGTAAAAAATTAATAAAAATCTAATATTTAATAATAATTTAATAATAAATCAGCTGATCCTAATTAATCTCGTTGTGGGGAGGCCAGGAGACCATAGGAAGCCAAGGTGGGTCTTAAGCCAGTGGGACGATGGTTAACATGGAGTATACCAGTATAGTTTTTATAACAAATAATTTTTAAAAATTACAAATAAATGATAATAAATAAATAATAATTATTATTATTTATTTGTAATACATTTGATATACCTAAAACAACTTTATTTTATTTATAATTTTAAATCAGTTTATTTAAACAAAGTATATTATAATAAACATTATACTGAAAATTATATAATTTGAACATTTCACTTTACATTATTTTTTACTAATTTAATCTTTATAATTTTAGTTTTAAAGAATTGGACTTTAGGAGCAATTGTCATCCTATTGCGGACGTTATTCCAAAAACATTTAACATTCACAAAAAGACCCTGACAGAAATTCAAAACCATAAGCAATGATACCCCAAACCACAGGCCAACTATACTTCCCACATAACATAGGTATTCCTCAATCAAAATCTTAGGCTTTTGTTTAAAAATCATTGTCGGGATTATGGGTGGGAGGAGACTGATCACTTTTGTTTCAAGTGGAAACGTAGTCTTGTATTCAAGTGAACTTAACCTGATAAACTCAACACGGCAATCTGGTAATTTGCACATGTTCTCACATTGATCATACAACCTGTTGACACCTGACCTAGGTACAGTATCAATATATACATCGTTGATAGTATCAACATTAGTAAAGTATAAATAAGGGGTAGCGTTGTAGTTGTCAACGGACAATTTTCGTATACATTTAAGTAAGCATTGTTCACGAGATGATAAATGACCATGATCGTAATAATTCATACACGAATCAGTGCGTGTATTTTTCCAACGTTGTAGTACTATTCGGTTGTATACTAGCGAGTGCCATTTATTCGGTTTTTGGGTATTTAAAGTTACCATGTATCGTTTTAAGTCATTAATATCAGTTTCACGGCGACCGTGGACAATGAAATACATAAAGCTAACATCTAGGTCAATATTTATGACTCCCGAAAAACCTTTTGTACCTAATATAGGGTTTGAAGAAACTATAAAATTATCGTCCGATTCGTTATTCAACTGTGCGAATAGGGAAATGCAGAATAAATCAAAATTGATGTTAATTTGCATCTTGGATATCTTATTGCAATCATTCCGATGTAGGTTTTTGACCTTGTTAACCGTCTCCATCAAATCGCACCGAATATGTTGAGTCAAATACTTACGAGACTGTAACAAATGTGCTTGCTCATGAACGCTCTTTGCTTGCAATGCTAATAGGATTTCTAATGACGAGTCCTTTTGATGACCTTTCGATGAATTGAATTTCTTCTGAAATGATTGCTTGTATTCCTCAGTAATGAACTCGTGTTTGGGTCCACACATTGTGAGCGCCGGCAGGTGTACAGGATTTTCGACCTCAAACTCCATATCAGTTGTGGTCTCGTATGTGAAGTATATTTGACTGATTTTTGTGATTTGATACATACATCCCAAGAAACATATAAGGTAAATTGAATATTGCAGGTATTTATTCATCTTAATCAAATTGGACTGTATGTTATTTTCCAAAGAAAATTTATATTAATGAATACGTAAACTTATAAAATAAGAGTATTCATATTTTCAGATACTTTTATAATATTTATAAACTCTCAATACAAATAAAAAACTAAATTTAATATACAGTACTATACCTTATAATAGTGTATAATATTTAACATAATTAATATCGGCATAACAAATATTAAATACATATTCATTAGTTACTAATAATTAACTTGTATTTTATTAGTAATGCATTTCATTATATTAAAACAATTATTCAAATACCATAGTTACATAAATCCAATTGTCAAAATTAAATTCAAACAAATAACAAATAAATATGTTAACGAACTTTGGAATATACACTGGTGGAAATAACACTAAAAAATAATTCAATTTATTAACATTCAAATTTTATAATAAATATAGACTTTTAAGTTTTAAATTTTAAACTAAAAATATATTTAAAAATTATTCATTTTACAATGTTAGATTTATTAGGGACACAACTTACCGCTGCCAATACCGAAATGAAAAAATTAAAATGCTCATATAAAAATTATTTTAAAAACTGTTTAGTGGATGCCATACACCTTATTATCGGATAAACAAATACTTTTAAATCTGCATTAATTTGAGGCATTAGGTACCCCCTCATAAAACCTTTATCAAGATATATTAAATTTTACATATAATATTGTTAATTGTAATTATGTGTATGGAAAGGCACCCAACACAATAAGTCTTGGAGGGGAACTGTAGGTTAATCACAGAATAACGTATCAGTTTAAAATGTGAAAGGTGTTATATTTATATATTATATTTTTAAAATAGAGAGCAGATTTTGCTTTGAATTATATATTCATTGGTTTACAAAAGAAAAGTCATTTAAAACAGGATTTTAATTATTTGTATTTTAATTATAAAGTTACATTACATTAACTTTATAATTAATTTAAACTACAAATAGGATATGAAAGATGATAGAATCGGGGTTAATTGATTTATGGCGTAAAAGTCTGTGTAAATGTCATAACGAACACGATGAAATTGTATATGAACAATTACAATTATTATTTAAAATAAGTTCATTTAAACTCAACTCAATGTTTTATCTATTATTTATTGGTCATTTATAATAATTACACTCAATGTATGTGCATTTGAAACGTTTTATAAAAATTATTTTTAAATAATTTTATAAAATTATAAATATTATTTACCTTATTTAACAAATGTAATTTTTCTGGCTATTTTACGACTAAAAACTAATTTTTAATTTTTTATAACTAAATTCGGTTTAAATATATTTTGTATAAGATAAATATACTGTATATTTGTGTGTTACATAAATTCAAATAAACATAATTTCTAACCCATTGACCGTCACATTAGTAACATAATTTATTTTTGGCACAATATTTGCCATTTCCAACGGGAATGCCTAACAGACTCAACACCAGTTTTGTCATCAATTAATCTGGGCATATTTGGTACAACCCGTTCATATATTAGGTGTTGCACCTCATCCCTAACTTTGCTGTAATCAATCCAATACTTAGCCCATAAGCATATCAACATTGGCATGAAATCTATAATAATAATAATGTTTAAAAATATATTATTATATAATATTTAAAATACACGAATATTCTTACGATCTATAAATGCCTTTTCAGGAATCGTATGATTTTCGAGAATAAATTCTTGTGAAATGATTTTCAAATTAAACTCTTGAAACAAATCGCTCCAAACGTTCATTTGTTGCACTTTTGTCGGAATATTCTGTATATTTCCGGTAAACTTCTCGTACATATCCGGGAAACCTTCAAATAGATCGGGAATTTGCATAATATCGGCGCATATTTTGCCCCCATTTTTAAGTAAACGATAAATATTTTTCATCGCATTTCGCTTATTGTCGATCCATTGAAAGCAAGCGCTCGAGAAGACCAACGACACCCTACCCTCCAGTGCCCGTAATCCCGGGGCCAATTCATACCACTCCGCACTAATATCTTGATTAATATACTGGATATTACTCTCATTGTGAGTGTGCTTCGCAAACTCAATGACCCCGCTATCTATGTCTATGCCGTAAATGTGGTCAACCATTAGCCTGTGGGCCAACATTTGTGTCACAACTCCCGTTCCGCACCCAATGTCCACAATTGTGTCATATTTTCTGTGAGAAATTAATATATGATTTAAATTATAGAAAATATTGAACATTTATATAATTTTATAAATACTTATCGGGAGTGTCGGTAACTATTTTATTTAATAGTTTTGTAGCCCGGTCTTTGAATATAAACAATGAATTTATATATTCTGTGTCATTAAACTCCATAATAAAAATGTTTGCAAAAATCCTTTCACTTATTTAAAAAATATTTTATAAATAATAAACTATAAAACTAATAATTAATACATGATTACATATAAAATGTGTAAGTAACTTATCAAATATTCTTATAAACAAGGTTTGCAATCAATGCTATATTATCCCACATTTTTGTATAAGTCTATATAAAGTTCATACTTATAAATATAATTAGTATTTTCAGGAGTGGGATGTAGAAGGGTGGTAAAAAACAAAACTATTACATACAATTTTACTTGTTGGAAAAATATTTAAAAATTACACGTACAGTGCACTCAAATTGTAAATCTTGTTTTTAAAAATTATATGAATGAGTGGTCTATGTTAAGGCTTATCAGAGGAACATTTATCGCCTATTATGCGCCTCAACGACGGCCCAGTAATGAAAAATAAACAAATATGTTAAAAATAACCATTATCTTTCACAAATTTTGACTTACAAAATAATAATAAATTGCACATCTTTATGAAATTTATTATTTATTTACAGAAGTTTGTTATGAGGTAGGGGTTATAGGCAAATTACCCCCTAAAATAACTCTTAATTCAAAAACATATTCAAATTTTACAATATAAAATTTTCAGCGTCTAAATTGAATAGCCAAATCAACCCCTTAGCTTAGTAATCTTAATTAGTTTAATTTTTTAATATACTTATTTTATACCAACTGAATTTTGTACAATTTTTTTTATAAAACAGAGGTTGAAATTTAGTTTTAAATATTTTTATCATTACTTTTATGTTATAACATATTAATAAAAACTATTTTTAAAGGTTTCAATATTATTGTTCGATATTATTATTTTTTTGTCATCATGGTTAATATTCCTGTTTAATGCTATAAAGTTTTTACGGAATATGCATGTCAAAGTGCATCAAAAGAAAATTGACCTTTGCTATCCTTTAAAACATCCCCTAAGCAATTAGACCTTGGTAATCTCTGGTTATTTGTCTGAAATGATGTCTGGAATATATCATAGTAATATTGATTTTATCATGCTTGGTTAGATTTTTAATTTTTAACAAACAAGATAACTTAATCACTAATTGGATGCTTAACTCTTTAATGAATCAAAATTATTAATCAATTGAGAGATTAAATGTTATGTAAATCTTATAATGTTTATGTATTTAAAATAATAGGTCATTCAAAAAAATTTGAGTAAACTTAATAATTATTTATTTTTCCTCAGAATTTGCCAAAACTGAATATTCAAAATGCTGTAATTCCATTATTAATTTAAATAATTTAATACTTATTTCAAACATATTATTAGTACTGTTTGGGGCTTATAATAAAACTATAATATCGCATGATTTTTAACAATTTTGTCATTCACATAGAAAATCCTACCTTACATTTAGCTTAGCTTTGGCTTTAATATCAATCAGATTTTTGATATATTTAGTTTAAATTAAAGTTTATTTATTTATTTATCAGTTACAGACACTTTATTATTTTGACTCATGACCTCTTATTTACTTGTGGATATAACCCTTACACTTATCCCATTTCCAGAGGCATAACATGGGATAAAATTTTTTGAATAGTGTATAAAAACTCCATTAAATGGATGTCTATTATAATTTAAAGAAATTTGATATAATAATATTATGTATAGTAACGGAATTATTAAGTTTTAGATCGGTCAGGTTTTTTTTGGATGATCTATTATAATGATTTCCAAATGCCATGAGATTATCATCAATAGCTGTTTTCCACGTAAATATTAAATATTAAATTTTTAAAAAACATATTACTACACAAATATGTAATATTAAAATTTTAAAAACATATTTCTACAAAAATATGCAATATTAAAATTTTAATAAAACAATATTTACATAATTTTTCCACCTATATATAATCCCGATTTTCAATTTCTAAAATATTGATATTTGATAAATAAAAATGTTGCTATTTTTCTTTATTAGTTTTTTATTTTTCTACTTTTATTTGTGAGTATCAATAACATTGTAATACTTTTAAAAATTTATTTATTTATTTATTTTACATATTATAGCCAATATAGACAAACATATAATTATTGGTCCAAACGAGGTATACCATGTCCAATACCTCTACCAATATTTGGCAATTTAATTAGTATATTATTCACACCAACCCTACCTTTGGAGAGGAAATGGATGACAAAATATGGCAAAGTTTACGGGTATGCATGAGATATTAGGGGCTATTCAATAAGTACGCACGTAAAATTTTGACAAAAAAATTGTGCCATTCCCATACTTAATAGATGACCCCTCGCAGTGCATACGTACCTATTGAATCGTCCCCTCAATGATGAGCTTGATAATATATGGCTGTCGTATAACACAAATAATACTAATTGACAAATTAATTTTTAGCACATATTACGGCGCAACACCTGTGCTCAACATAACAGACCCGGATATCATCAAAGATGTAATGGTTAAGGATTTTAATGTATTTCCAAACCGACACTCATTTTTCGATGTCGACTCGTTTTGGAGTAAAAACATCTTCTCATTGGAGGACAACGATTGGCGTAGAGTTCGGTCTATAGTGACGCCCGTATTGTCCACAACACGAGTCCGCCAGTTGTGTCCAATCGTGAGCCAATGCGTGCGCCAATTGGTCGACGACTTATCTACCGGCGCCCGCAGCGATAGTCACGTCATAGATGTCTCGCAATATTATAAAAAGTATGTAATCGACTCAATACTCCGATGCTTTTTCCGCATAAAACTCGACGCGAGCGACAAAATTAGCGATGAATTTGTCGGCAATTATGAAAAGTTTCTCAATTATAACAAATGGAAACTCTTATCGTTGGAAATATTTGACGGATTTTTTGCCAAATTATTTGCTATTAAATCGCCGATCGATGAGTCCATCAAAGAGTTTTGCGTCAAATTATGCAAAGAACTCATCAATGAGTATAAGACGTCGGGAATGGCTAACCTCAAGGAAAGGGATCAGTATTTTATTCACACGCTTATCAACCTATCCATTGATAATAATAACGGTATGTTCACAGAATAATAGGCTGTCCAATAAATACTTGCAATAAGTTTAACATGGATTACATACAAATCAAATAAATCCACGCTAAGTATTTTGTCAGTACTTATTGGACTACTCATTATTTTATTTTTAAAATTTAAATTATTTTTAAAAACACTATACATTACGATATATTTAGAGGAAAGGCATACTGTTTTGAAAAACAAATACCTGACCGAAGAGGAAGTCATAGAAAATTCGGCCATATTTTTGAACGCAGGCTACGAGAGCTCGTCCAACATCCTACTGTCCACCACCTATGAGTTGGCCCGTAATCCCGGGGTTCAGCAAAAACTGTATGAGGAAGTGGTCGGCATTATTAATGAGGACAGGGATGGCAACGATATCACCGACTACTACGAGGCGCTGCCTAAACTCAAATACATGGACGCCGTGATCATGGAAGTCATACGACTGTACATAACGTCGGAGCCGCTGAAACGGCTGTCCAATAGTCGGTACACTTTTCGTAAGATAGGGCTCACCATCGATAAGGGAACGCGGGTTGAGATCCCGACGCAAGCCATTAATACGTGCGACGAGTACTTCCCGGATGCGACTCAGTTCATACCCGAGCGGTTTATGGACAGGGAGGCGAACCACCAGTACCCTAACCTGCCGTTTGGTAGTGGACCCCGGGGTTGTCTGGGAAAGGTGTGGGCTGTTATGCAACTTAAGTTGTGTTTAGTGGGAGTCATACGTCGGTATCGATTCGCGAGTTGCGATATAATGGCCGATAATATTGAGTGGAAATTAAATTTGTTTGGAAATCGAAATAAACAAATGTTTGTTAAAATAGCGGAGAGATTATCGAGTGAAGCGGACTTTGTCATAGTGTAATGCACCATGATCGTAATATACCAATTTACTTTTACTTGTATATTATAAATTTATATATTTTCAACTATATTTGACAATTTTTGATATTTTTAAAACATAATATCAGCTAGAATACTATTCAAATGTGTGTTTTTCCAATAAAAATTAAAATATTATAACTGATTACAAAATACACATAAAATATAGTGTTTCAAATTTTATAGAGAAAACACACATTTTAATCGTAATCTACTGTATATACTGCTATGTTATAAATATAATTATAAACAAGTAAACTCAAGTTTGTAGTACGCACTGTACAGTAAATGCATATCACATTTACTTACCTTTCCTAACACAATATGTTATTAATTTGAAGTTTTAAGAGATTTTTATATAATATATATACATAAATAAGTTTATTAGTTTCAAAAAATAATTTTTGTAGATTAATTTATTTTGCAATTGTTATTTTAAATAAATTTATTTATTTTACTTAATTTGCAAACTGTCAAAATTACATAAATTTTATAATAATTTATTTATGTACTAAAATAACTTTTAATTGCATATTTTAACATGAAAATAAATAGTACGCAGGTTGTTTACTATAATATAGGAATAATTAGTATATAAGTTGCATAATATAACATAAAAAGAAATAGTACACAAGTTGTATAATATATACTATAAAAATAAATAGTACACAAGTTGCATACTATATAGTAGTAATATAAAAAGAAATAGTATATAAGTTTTTATTAAAATATATTTTTAAACAAAATTAAAAGTATATGATAATTATTTTATAAATTGTTTGAATGCAAAACGAATTTTGTTTTTAAATAAATAAATAGTTTAAATCAAAATGACACCAATTATTAAAATAATTTATACGTTTGGTATTATTATAATAACGGGTAAGCAATCATTTTAAAGGTTTTTTAGCAATGTCATTTCAATAGAAGTGTTTAACAGAGAATGGAAAATTCCGAAACACTTTTGTTTAATTATGCTTGTTAATTGAACATTGGAAAGTGTTAAACTTTAATATTTATTATAAAAAAACTCGCATTGCTACAATCAGCATAGTTCGCACTAATGAACCGTAAATAACAAACAATAACTTACTGATATATAATTTGCAGCATGGTTACTCGCCGATGCCAATGACATGGATCGGGCACATGGTAGGGTTCGGGCGGGCTGTCAGCGTCAGGGCTGCAATACGACAATAGGGTGTTTGTGCCCCGGCCTCAAAAATATCCTTGCTAATTGGACAGTGCAAGAAGGTTGCTTCGGCTCTGTCACGTCTGGT